ACATGCCATTGAATAGTTTCAATGTATCTCAAAAGAATTAGGAATTTCACTTCGTTTGTTTCGTCTAATGGTGGAATTGGTGAATCGTCATTCACCTACCTTTCTGAGTTGTGAATCTTCATAGTTGGATCCTAATCTTGATATTATATCTTTGGGTTATTTTATTAAGGTATCTTGAAATCTAACTAAAACTTTTTTTCAGATGTCTACTCCTAGAAACACTTCTGCTTCGTCCTCCTCCAACCAAAACTTCTCTTTGCTCAATATCTGCTCCAAAGTCGTTATGGATGGCTCAAACTATAACGATTGGATGCGCAACATCAAGATGGATCTTCGTTTCGAGAACAAAGAATATGTTCTTGAAAAGGAGCTCAAAGAGCTTGATGAGAATGAAGCTACTCCTGAAGATCTTGCTGCCTACAAGAAACATTATGATGATGCTACCAAAGTGGCATGCATCATGGTGGCAACTATGTCCCCAGAATTGCAGAGGTACTATGAGGACTACTGGCCTTTCGAGATGAACAAGGACCTTATGGAAAAGTACCATAAGCGAGCTCGTCAAGAAAAGTTCGAAGTATTCAAGTCACTCATGGCTTGCAAGATGAAAGATGGGGAGTCGGTTGTGTCACATGTGCAAAGAATGCAACGCTACATAGAGCGTTTGGTCAAGCTCAATATTCACTTTGATGAGGAATTGGCCATTGACATGGTCTTGAACTCACTTCCTGAATGTTATGGTCAGTTTATTCTAACTTACCATTTGAACAATACTGAGCAGACCTTGGCCCAATTGCACAACTTGTTGCAGACAGCTGAGGCAGAGATGAAGGGTAAAAGTATACCCTCCACACCTACGAGTGCCCCTGTGTTGGCTATTGGACAGGGAAAGGGGAAAAAGAGGAAAGGTCCTCCCAAGCAAAACTGGAAGAGCAAGGCTCAAGCTGGGTCATCTAGTAATGGCCCAAAGGCTAAGCCCAATGGTTCCACTCCCCATGTTTCTGATCCAAAAGAGGCAGTTTGCTTTTACTGCAACCAAAAGGGGCATTGGAAGAGATCTTGCCCACAATATCTGCAAGATATCAAGGATGGCAAAGTGAAGCCATCTTCGACAGGTATTTACACTATTTCTGCTAATAACTCATTATCTTCTCGTTCATGGGTCCTTGATACAGGATGTGGTTTTCATATCTGTTTTGATTTGCAGGGTCTAAAGGAAAGTGAGGAGATAGAGCGAGGAAGGATAAACCTGATCATGGGAAACAGAAAGTCTTCACCAGTAACCAAGATCGGAGTTTATCAGCTTCTGCTTAGTAATGATGTTAGATTAGATTTAATAAATTGTTGCTATTCGTCTGAGATGACGAGAAACATTATTTCATTTCATGCATTGTTCAGACAAGGTTTTACATATTCTTTTAATGATTTGAATGGTTCAATTTCTGTTTATAAGAATGGTGTTTTTATGTTTGAAGCTTTGCCTTGTAATGGTGTGTATGAAACAGTGACTTGTGTTGATAGCCTAGGAAATAGTGTACTTAATATTGACTTGTCTAATAGTGTAGACAAGGCATGCTTGTGGCATTGTCGTCTTGGACACATTAACAAGAAACGCATACCCAACTCCAAAAGGATGGAGTGTTGGAATCATTTGACCTAAAGTCAGATGATATGTGTGAATCTTGTCTTTTGGGAAAGATGACAAAATCACCATTCACAGGGTCTTGTGAAAGAGGTGAAGGTCTGTTGGATCTCATACACACAGATGTGTGTGGGCCCTTCAGATCAACTACAAGAGATGCTAATCGATTCTATGTGACTTTCACTGACGATTATAGCAGATATGGATATATCTACTTGATCAAGCATAAGTCAGAAACTTTTGAAAGTTCAAAGAGTTTAAGCATGAAGTCGAAAATCAATTGGGCAGAAAGATAAAGATACTTAGATCCGATAGAGGCGGGGAGTATCTTAGTATCGAGTTTAACGACTATCTGAAAGAATGTGGGATAGTCTCACAATTGACTCCTCCTAGGACACCACAGTTAAATGGTGTAGCTGAGAGGCGCAATCGAACCTTGTTAGACATGGTTCGTTCTATGATGAGTCGGGCTTCGCTTCCTATTCACTTCTGGGGGTATGCCTTAGAGACAGCCGCCCACATCCTCAATCTTGTCCCTACAAAGAAGGTTGCCAAAACACCTCACGAAATGTGGACAGGGAAAGTTCCCTCGTTAGCACATATTAAAGTCTGGGGTTGTGAAGCTTTCGTAAGACGAGAGACTCACGACAAGCTAGCAGCTAGAAGTGAGAAATGTGTTTTCATTGGTTACCCAAAGCAGTCTTTTGGATATTTGTTCTACAGGCCTAGTGAAAACGTGGTCTTTATAGCACGAAGAGGAGTCTTTCTTGAAAGAGAGCTCATATTCAAAGAGGACAGTGGGAGCACTATTGACCTTGAAGAAATTCAAGATTCAGCCAATGAAGGAACCTTAGATGACACTAGCACTCAACCAGAGGAAACAGTTCCTGTTGAACCAATCGATAACTCATTACCTCTTAGAAGATCCACTAGGGTGAGTGTGCCACCTGAGTTGTATGGTTTTCATATTACTTCAGATGGTGACACATTCATAAGTGACAGAACACTGGTAAACTTAGATGAACCAGTCACTTATAAGGAAGCAATGGCAGGCCCAGAGGCTTCCAAGTGGAAAGAGGCAATGGACAGCGAGATTAAGTCCATGTATGACAACCAAGTTTGGAATTTGGTTGATAGTGCACCAGGTCGTAAGACAGTTGGGTGCAAATGGATCTTCAAGAAGAAGACAGACATGGATGGAAATGTACACACATTCAAGGCTCGACTGGTTGCAAAAGGTTTCACTCAAACCCCAGGGGTTGACTATGATGAGACCTTCTCGCCAGTGGCTAAGATTAAATCTATTAGGATATTGCTCGCCATAGCTGCCTTTCATGATTATGAAATCTGGCAGATGGATGTCAAAACTGCTTTCCTTAATGGGAAGTTGGCTGAAGATGTTTACATGAGTCAGCCAGAGGGTTTTGTTGATGCAAAGTTCCCCAATAGAGTGTGCAAGCTTGAGAAATCCATTTATGGATTGAAACAAGCATCTCGCAGTTGGAATCTTTGCTTCCATGAGAAAGTCAAAGAGTTTGGTTTCTCTAGAAGTGAAGATGAGTTCTGTGTGTATATCAAGGCTAGTGGGAGTATAGTAACTTTTATGGTGTTGTATGTCGATGACATATTACTCATTGGTAACGACGTTCCAACCTTGAAAGAAGTTAAGTCTTGGCTTGGAAAGTGTTTTGCCATGAAAGACCTTGGAGAAGCTGCCTATATTCTTGGGATTAGAATATCCAAGTGGGAGACTGTTGGTATGTACTAAGCCCATAACTATAATTGGTATGTACTTGAATTGATAGCAGCACAGTCCTTTTGGGTTGCCCTCAACCTAGCAACTGGACAAGGAAATTATGAAAGGAGAGATATTAATTTATAAGATTAATAAATTAATATATATATATATATATATATATATATAAATGATTTATTAATATGTTAATGGATTAATATATTAATTAGAAATCATTATGTTTAATTAATTGTTAGCCAGAAATTAATCAGAATTGATTTTGGGGTTAAAAGAATTAATTATAAGGTGCAGGGACTAGTTTGCAATTATCTAATAGTTGAGTGGAAGGCTCTAGAACCCCCTTAGAAGAGGGTGGACGAAATCTTTAGGGGAAACCCTAATAATTTCGTCCATATGGGCTTGGATAAGGCCCTTGGGTTTGCTTAGGCCCTAAGCAAAGGATAACTAGGGTTTCCCTTAAACCCTAGATCCCTCAGCTATATAAGGAGCCTCCTGGTTCATGTTTTTGGTACTCTTTCTTTTGAAGAAACCCTAAGGCCGAGATTTTACATACTCCCTCTCCCCTCTCTCTTCTACTTTCCTTCTTGCTAGTTTGGGTGTGATTCCATTAGAGGCATTACACTTGTGGTGCTAAAGCTTCTAAGAAGATCAAGATCAAGATCAAGGGAATATCAATTGTTTGCTATAACAATTGAAAGGTATGTAAACCCTAAACCCTAGTTTGTTAATTTCAAAATTAGCCTCTCCCCTCTAGGGTTCTTGTTTTGCAATTCAAAGTTGTATGTTCAATAGTTAAAACATAGATCCAAAGTAGGTTGCATGTGAACTTAGGAATTGTTTCTAGTTTATTTGTTTTACCTAAAACCCATCAATTTATGCATAACATTATGATTTGAATGTTAAAAATAATAAAAAATAAATAAAAATAAATAAAAATAAAAACTTGTATTTATATAAAAATGTGGTTTTAAATGAAAAAAATGTATTTATAGGTTTAAAATGTAATAATAGAATATATTTATACGGTTTCAAATGGAAAATAGTCAACATTGAAAAAATTGGAAAAAATAATGTTCGATTTGGAACAAAAAAATAGAGTGTCAAAATTGATAGAAAAAATTAAACTTAGTGTGAAAATTTAAAAAAAAAAGGTGAAAACTTAGTGACTTTTGTGGGAAAGAAATTCTACTTTGACACGTCAGCATGTCATGTAATCAAAATTGACACGTCATCATGTCACATCAGCAAGTAATCTGGTTGACCGGTTAAGTGGTCAGAATTGTAAAAAATTGAAAAATACAGTGTCAAATTTGAGATAAAAAAGTGTAAAATTAGAATTTTGGTGTAAATTTAATGTTTTTTTTGTGATATTTACCCTTTTTAAATAAAAATTGGATAAGATATGGAAAAATAAACAAAGTTTGGTCCATCCATCCGTCTGCATGGGAAGATAAGAATTAAGAAAAACGATCGATGACGGGTTTTGCGACTCTTTGCTTCGATTATCTACTTACTTTATCTACAATCCTGTAATTTTGAATGACCATCGTCTGCTTCGTCGAAGGTCAATATCAACAAGAAGAAAAAGTTTTGCTTTAGGCAATGATTCTCAGGGTGACTTTGGTGCCAAAGGCGGAAATAGAGACAAATTTTAGTGATAGAGTAGGTACTTTGGACACCGAGCATAGGATTCTCATCCTCAATGTTGCTATGTCCCTTGCTCAACAAGAATGCACTCCAATTTCCCATTTGCAGTCTCCCATTTTCGATGATGATGCACAACAGCTATTGCGAAAGGTTCATTTCACCAAACCTTCGCTCTCTCTTTTTTTAGTGCTTAGTTTTAAACTATGGGTGTTAGTGTTCTTGACTTGTTTGATATGATTTGGGGTCAAAATTGATTGATTTTGATTTTGTATACTTGATGTAGGTCGTTGGTTGGAGGCTAGTAAAGGAAGAGGGAAAACTAAAGCTACGATGTTTATGGAAGCTTAGAGATTATGAATGTGGAGTAATTCTCATAAACAAAATCTTCAACATTGTAAAATCTACTTCACCTGGAAGCTTTGGACTTCTTCCATAGGTAACCTATAACCACACTCACACCATCATTTTTTTGTGGTTTCATTAAACAAAATGCAAACATGTTAAAGGAATTGGTTCTTCTGATATTTTATTTATTCTTTGATCGTTGCTTGTAGGAGGGTTGAGCATGAAGGATTTCATTGTTGCTGCAAAAATTGATGATATATAAACTTCAGACTTTGTTCCTAAGAAAAGAGCTTGGGATATAGTTTTCCGTTTGTATTCTTAATTTTCTTGTTATTATTTCAATATTATTAGTTTCACCTATAAAATTACAAAGTACGCCGCTGGAAAGACATGACAAATTTCATTATTATTATGATCTTTAGATTTTGATGGAGAAACATGGTTGTTCTTGTTATGGCTGAAATTTTATCTTACTTAACATTTAACATCTTTATCATTATCTTCAATCTTTTGAATTATTTAACATCTTCATTCACATCTTGGATCTTAGATCTTGGATCTTGAATAAAGGTAGGCCAAGTAAAATCAGGTTCCAAACATTCAAGTAAGGATAAGAGAACATTTCCGAATTTAGAGGAACAAGTTGTTAGCTTTCAAGTCGGAATTCATTGTAATTGTCTGTAAATACTATGAGTTGAGAGGACACACAAACACACACAATCACCTGGGTGTACTCTCTTTAGCTCTCATAATCTTAGTTGTAACTCGTTCATATTAAACAAATTGTCTCACGCATCCAAGGTGTAACGCCCGGTTCCCTGGTACACATTTAATTAATTAATTAATTATTTTGAAAGAAGGACTCGACGAGTTGGTAGCCCTGACTCGTTGAGTAGAAGGCAGTATATGCGCGGGTTTTAAGTGAGCTACTCGACGAGTCGCAACCCTGACTCGACGAGTAGGACAGGCTGGATGAAACCCTAATCTTTAGGGTTGGCACCCTATTTAAGCATCATATCTGGCCTCCATCCCAGCCTCCATCACCTCCAAACCCTAATCTCGAAACCCAAATCAACCTTGAGTGATCTTGAGCTATTTCTTTCCATTTTTGTGATTTAAAGCTAGAAGAGGGAAGCAAAGGCTTGGAGTTACAGAAGAGCTAAGGACTCATTTCTGTCTTCATAGAGATATAAAGCTTATACCTTGGTTGTTATTCACTTAGATCTCCTTCTTAGCTTGTATGTTGTCATTTTTGGGCCATTTCCAAGGTCAATCCGAGATTTGAACCCTTGGGGATGAAAGGACTTCAGATGTGGGCACTCTTGAGCTTTAGAAGCTCTAAGTTGCCACCTTTATTCAGCCATGGCTCCATTCTATGACTTAGACCTTTATTTTGGCTTGGATTTGGTGTTGAAGCTTCATAACACCATGCATGTACGTAAAGTTAGCAACTTTACGTGTAATGCTAGTCTAAGTAGTCCATATCTATGAGTTAGAAGCATTGGAAAGGATTAGAATCGACTGAATGGATATGTCACATGGAGGACTCGACGAGTTGTTCTTGGACTCGGCGAGTCGGGTCGTGAACCCTAACTCCTTTTCTGGTTGTGAGTGAAACCATTGAGTTTAGGATATGACTCAGTGAGTTGGACAAGATTAGGACTCGGAAGCTGAAGAACTCGACGAGTCCAAGGAGGGGACTCGACTAGTTAGAGTCGATATGTCCCGATGTTATGACAGGAAGAACTCGACGAGTTCGGGAAGGGACTCGACGAGTTGACTTAGTTGACCACGTGTCTGAGTTGCTCATGAACTCGCCGAGTTAGGAGATGACTCGACGATTTGGGGTTGACTGGGAGTTGACCTTAACTTTGACTTTGACCAGGATGTTGACTTTGACCAGGGGTAAAATGGTCATTTTACCCTATGAAGGGTTATCAGGTTTTGATTAAGTGTTATTATGTAATTTATAGTCGGAGAGTCGCCGGAGCAGCAGAAAAGGATTCCTCACCCGAGTTTTCAGCAGTCAGTCTTGCGAGGTGAGTTTCCTTCAGTAGGAACGGGTCTAAGGCACCAAGGTCGGCCCGTAGCATGATATGTTAGTAGTTGAGTGTGGGCGAGGCCCGTATCTCATAGTAGCCTAGTATGGGCTTGGCCCGTATCTCACGACTTAGTTTGATTATGATATATGTCTGATTGATAGATTTAGTTATACTTGTTGTCTGTGTGATACATGTATGTTTGTTTAGTAGCTGAGTGTGGGCGGGGCTTGTATCTCATAGCAGCTGAGTATGGGCGGGGCCCGTATCTCATAGTAGCCGAGTGTGGGCGGGCCCATATCTCGAAGTAGCTGAGTGTGGGCGGGGCCCGTATCTCAGAGTCAGCGGAGTGTGGGCGGGGCCCGTATCTCCCAGCTAGTGGAGTGTGGGCGGGGATCGTATCTCCATGAGTGTGGGCGGGGCCTGTATATCCTAGTTTCATGTTATATGTGTATGGTATGTGGTAGTTTGGGGAGACTCACTAAGCTTCGTGCTTACAGTTTTCAGTTTTGGTTTCAGGTACTTCCACTAGCAAAGGGAAGGGCTCGGGATGATCGCATGACACACACCACAGTTTTCTGGCCTGGGAGATTTACTCTGATATTTGATATGAGATTCTGATATGTTGACAAATATTATAATATTTTGAGATACATGGTTTATGATTTTATACTATGGTGATGATATTTATGGTTTTAATAATGATTTAAAAACGAAATTTTTGGACCGTATTTTTTGGATGTTTCACGAAGTTTTATGTCGGATATCTTGAAAGATCAAAGACTTCCCTTGTATATCTCGCGTTGTTCTTTCTAGTTCTGCATTTCTACATTTTAAGATATACATTCTAAAACACCACGACCCTTTTTCTAGATTCGTTTGATTAGCTTCATAGATCTTTTTGACCAAAACAATTTGGCGTGCACCGTGGAACATGTGGTGTTTTAGCTTAAGAAGATTTTCATTCTCAATTGTTTCTCGAATGATGTCAAGCGTAATAATATTCAGATAAGAGGTTGACGAATATATAATTTGGTTATCATATAATTTGTGATCAACTTGCAAACGATGACGATGTCAAATGAACAACCTACTCATTAGCAAGTAGCTAGCAAAAAAATAATGAAATAATCTGCATTGCTAGTATTACAAATAGTTATATTCAACATAAAAGTTAATTAATTTGATAAACTAATGTAGTCTTAAAAGTTAATAAATTTACTAAAGGCAAATAAACAAAATCAATAAAAGCATATCATGATAAAAATTCTAACAAATTCAGCATGGAGCCAAGGAGTCGCTTGGGTGTTGTTAGTAATAAAAGGAGTCGCTTCCGAACGTCTCATTCCACATTTATCTTCAACTTTTGGGTTTCTTTTTTGTTTTTTCCAATTTTTTCCAAAGAAATTTCTCTATTTATGTCTAAAATATCCATTTTGAAATGTTTAATGCTACCGTTTTTCAATCAAATATTTAATTTTATATCATAATATCGTATATAATTCACATTTACTATGTTTGTTTAACTTTTTATTAGACTTAAATAAAAAGTAAATTTTTTTCTAAAAAATCAAGAGTTATTAATCGAATTTCGGAAAAAGACTCTAAAATTTCAGTCAAAATATTGGAATGTGAGTTCAAAATGTATTTTTTTATTAGATTTTTTTTTCTCATTCCAAAATGTCCATTCAAGACTTGGTGGTTGTTTTTGAAAAAAAAAAAACAAACAAAAAAAAAAACAATTTCTTTTAGTTATTTTATTGGAATACATATTACATTACATTATGGTTATATTACTCAATTTCCCTATTTTTTAAAAATAGCAGAATCTGATTATTCAATTAAAGTAAAAGGGGTGTTTATGTAACTTCTTTATTCCGTAACCACCGACGCACCATCCAATTCCAAACCAACGGCCATAGAGATGATTCAAATCATATTTCAGGCGTTTCCTTTCTCTGTTTTGAATTAATTCTATATAAACAGCATTGCTATTGAAAGTAGGTGATTTAGGGTTCGAGAGAGATGGAAGACGATTATTATAAGATACTGAATGTATCTAAAACCGTCAATGATGAGGATCTTAAGAAGGCATACAGAAATCTTGCGATGAAATGGCATCCTGACAAGAACCCTAACAACATGTATGAGGCCGAAGCCAAGTTCATTCAAATCTCTGAAGCTTTTGAAGTAATTTCCAAAACCCTCTTTCTTGCATTTAGCCTCTCATCACAAATTCTAAATTGAGAATTCCAATTCCAGGTACTAGGCGACCCTCAGAAGAGATTGTTATACGATCAACATGGTGAAGAAGATTTGAAAGAAACGCCAACAAGTGATGATTCCAAAACCGAAAATGGGTTTAGTGGTCGAACAGCTGAAGATATAGATATACTTGAAGAATTTTGTAGTCGTTGTGGCTTTGATTTTGATACAAGTAGAGGTGGAAGAAACGATAATAGTAATGTTGATAACAGGTTTAAAGGATCCACCATGTTAAAGAAACCGCCACCTGTTGAGAATACATTGCCTTGCAGTCTTGAGGAATTGTATAATGGATCGACGAAGAAGATGCAGATTTCAAGAACATTTGTTGACAAAAATGGGTAATAAGTTTATGATATTATTACGCCATACTAAGTCATCGTGATGATTTTATAAAGGGAAAAAATGCAAGATATGTAGCAATATATATACGTCCTATATATTTTAATTATCGCATTGTAATGTCATTTATACGTATTACAACAGTGGTATTTCATGCATTACATGACAGACAATTGACACTAGTAATGGAGACATTGACGATTGACATAAAGCCCGGGTGGAAAAATGGAACCAAGATCACATTTCCCGATAAAGGAAACCAACAAAAAGCTAAAGAGCTTCCAGCTGATCTTGTGTATGTAATCCATGAGAAGCCTCACCAAGTCTATAAAAGAGATGGAAATGATCTTTTTGTTAACTATAGGCTTACATTAGCAGAAGCACTTAAAGGAACCACAATCCATATTACCACACTTGATCAACGAGAACTTGCGATCGAAGTAAAAGACATTATTACCCCTGAATACGAGCTTGTTGTTAGCAAAGAGGGTATGCCGATTCCTAATGATCCCGACTCTCGAGGGGATCTAAAAGTCCGGTTTGAAATCAAATTTCCTAAAAAATTGACATCACAACAGAAAACCGCCTTGCGTCATGCTTTGGGTGGCTAATTATAGTTAGGGCACAAGATTGGATGGGATTTCACAAGGCCTATTTTTTATGATGAGTAGGATAAAGATGGTATTTATGTCTTTTGTACAGACAAGAGGTCGAGAGTGAGTCTTTGTCTCACATTTTCCCACCTTTTTTGGTGTGTAATTTTGTGCTGTTAATATCTCGATTAGAGTTCAAGTTTATTGCATGTGAAAACTTATGCAAAACTTTGTAAGGTTGTCAATATATGCATAACAAATTAGCCTGATGGTAAATTGGATTAACGGTATTAGAGTTTTTTTCTTGAAAAAGACAAATATGTCTAATCATTTTTCAAAAAATAATAAAAAATTTCCCAAATCACCTAAATAGCCACCTTTTTTCGTTGCAAAAAGGTTGGTCATCTGCAAAGTCAACGTCGTTTTTAGTGATTTTTACAGACTACCAACCTTTTTCAAAAAAAGTGGGTTTTAAAATGTAGATGTACAAAAACCACCATTTTCTTTTTTTCCCTTCTGTTTACAAAAAAAAATGAAAACTAAAAGTTCTTTCAAACACATAGCCCTCACCCCTCAATGTTATGCCTAAACACCAATCTCGTTTTAAGGTATTGGAAGTTTGCTTTAATATTTTTTTGTTTCTTTATAGGTTTAAGCTCAAATATTTGGCTGAGAAATGATATTTTCACAGATGCCATCTACGAAAATGGCTTCTTGACCTTTTTTTCTGTTGAGAAATGTCATTTTTGCTATTCGAAAAAATGTCATTTCTTAGAAAAAAAAATCGATTGAGCAATGCCATTTTCGATGATTCCATCTACAAAAATTTAATTTACAAGTCAATGTTTTTGCTGCAAAATGACATTCACATCAAAAAATTTACGGAGAAATGAAATCTATGAATTTGCTACTAAGATGTCCTATTTTTCCAAGTTTTAGGACATATGTGTTGTCACCAAACTAAGAAATTTTAGTTCAAATTCCTCACCAAACGAAACACCAACACCATTATGAAACGGCTCGTATCCCCAAGAGGCCAAGACCCCATCCACCTTTTGGAAGCAAAAAAATAAAAATAAAAAATAAAATAAAATCACTAGTTACTTAAAATAACAGTGTTTGATGTTGTGCCAACTGAATGAATACTCATCATTAGAATGAATACAAATGGAAGCAAGTGGCATTAGTCATATTAGTTACTGTCTTTATAATTATACTGATTTTTGATTTCCAACTTTTAATAGTTGGTGTTCAAAAAATTATTGTATTCTTGACAAGAGCCAAATAACTTCTCAAAATCATTATATTCATTACTGACTCATTCAAAACATCCAACACATAAAATAGAAAAAATACCCTTAAATACATATGTTATATGCATCGTAAAAAATGATAATGTGATTTTTCTGAAAAAACTTGTTTCCATCTCAAGCTTCGCAACATGTCACTATTTGCTAGACAATTAACAAAAGGGAAAATGACTTGGGAAGGTAATTAACTTTTCAGTAAGTTCATATCTGGATAACTATCTTTTTTTGTACACATCTAGGTAACAAACTTGTTCGAAGTGTTTATATATGACCATTATGACCGGCTGTAGCAGGTTACATCCTAGATCTGAATACTTTCAACAAGTTTGTTACCTAGATGTGTACAAAAAAATAGTTATCCAAATATGAACAAAATAAAAAGTAAGAGTAAATTACACGAATGGTCCTTGTGGTTTGGGAGAATTTGTGTTTTTTTGGTCCCTAACTTATTTTTTTTTAACTCGGATGGTCCCTAATGTTTATTTTTGTTGTGCGTTTGGTCCCTGTCTTACCTAAAAATACTATTGTGCCCTTATTAATTTATATTTTAATTAATTTTCTTATTATGCATTTATTTTTTTATATATTTAAAAAAATTAATAGACCTCACATATTTGTATCTCCTCACCTACTAAAGATGAAGAGACAATGTATATTATAGGGATGATCCGATCAGCAAGGACCATGATTGGGAATTGTTTGATCGTCTTTCTCTGAGGAGGAGGCAAAATAGAATCAACTTGAATTCGGGACCACTATTCGAAATCTTAGTGAAACACTGGATTTGTTATTTCATGTTTGCTTTTTGTGAAAAGATACCAATTAAAATGGAGGGTTTTTTCAAACAACAAGGGACTGGGTCAACTATTAAATCAAATGATATTGAGCACTAAAGATGAGGATATACAAATATGTGAGGTTTATTAATTTTTTTAAATATATAAAAAATAAATACATAAATAAGAAAATTAATTAAAAAATAAATTAATAAGGGCACAATAGTCTTTTTAGGTAAGACAGTGACCAAACGCGCAACAAAAATAAACAGTAGGGACCATCCGAGTTAAAAAAAAATAAGCTAGGGACCAAAAACACAAATTCCCCCAAACCACAAGGACCATTCGTGTAATTTACTCTTACTTTTCGTTTTGTTCATATTTGGGTAACTATTTTTTTGTACACATCTAGGTAACAAACTTGTTGAAAGTGTTCACATCTAGACCAAAATTGTCATATGTGATGTAACATCCCAAATTTCAAGACCAAAATTTTCATTTTTGATATAACAATTTAGAAAACATTTAATAATTGAGTCATATCATGTCATAGAACCATAATCTCATGTCTCAAAATCATATCGTAAAAATAGTAACAATGTCAGAGTACACTCCCAAGAAATCTCATAGTGCAGAAATCCTGCGTGTTTGTGATGTGCCGCTACCGCGCCGGCTCCTTCCACTTCGCTGAAGACGTACCTGAAACAAAACTGAAAATTGTAAGCACGGAGCTTAGTGAGTTCCCCCATCATACCACATACCACATAATGCATGTTCCTCGGTATCAGTCTGGCATAACTGGGAGCTAGGCTCCCCTTCGGTATCTTTCAACCGGTAACCGGGAACTAACCTCCCATTCGGTATCTTCCAACTGGTAACCGGGAACTAACCTCCCCTTCGGTATCTTCCAACCGGTAACTGGGGGCTATTTCACCCCCCTCCCCCCACCACCACTATCACATAATAACATATCATAAGCATATTGATCGCATTATAACATATCATGATCATACTGCTAGGCATGCATGGGTACTATCTACCCCTTCGGTATCTTTCAATCGGTAACTAGGGCTATATCGCCCCTACCACTACAAACACATATGTCATAGCATCCTAGAACATAAAGCATATCAGATAACCACATCAGATAATTGTCACAAAGACAATCATCTAACAAACAAGTCCTACCAGTGGGTCGGCATTGTGGTCGTAGACCCACTCCTACTGGAAGGTAACTCACATCGATGTCGTGTAGTATCTGCACAGTCCTCGGCACGGGAATCGACTCGACTCTACTCCTCAATCCCTACACAACGACCTTCTCCGATTACTAATGCATACTCATAACCCTTACAAGGGTCAACCCAAATCCAAGTCAAAGTCAAGGTCAAACTCTGGTCAAAGTCAACATCCAGTTGACTTGACTCGCCGAGTTGGTCCACCAACTCGTCGAGTCCCTATCCTTTCAAAATGATACAATCCCCGACTCTACTCGTCGAGTCTAACAAGAACTCGACGAGTTCACCTTCAACCATAGCATCAAGACCATCTTCAACCGACTCGTCAAGTTCATTCTTGAACTCGTCGAGTTCATCTTCTTCTTATGAATATGTCCAGTCTATGACTCACCGAGTTCTATGAACAACCCGTCGAGTCCGTCTTCATGAGTTGGGAGATTGCCTTGAACTCGTCGAGTATGTTCATACACTCACCGAGTCCTATGATTTCCAGTTCCAAAACAAACCCCTAGCAGGTTGAGTGTTCCTTCCACTCAACCAAAACCATTTCTAGAAGTCGTTTTGGGGAAACAGCGTACCGACTCGCCGAGTCACCCAAGTGACTCACCGAGTCCCTCTTTGTCCAAAACTGTACAGTCGATTATAATGGGTCTTAACGCGTCAAAACCATAGATCTGGCCTCCTAGGGTCCATTTTATACGTAAAGCTTCAAACTTGATGTACATGCATGGGGCCTTTGGCTCAAAAAGCCACTAAAAGGGGTTTATATGATGCATGGGTCTCCCGTGGCCATAAAGTTGGCACCTTTATGCCATGGGAACCCTCAATGGCTCCAGATCTGAAGTCCTTATCCCAAAACCTGACCCACGATACGCTCGTTCTTCCGATGTTCCTCCTTCATGGCCTCCAGCTGGGCCTCTCGGATCTGCTCCAAAAGTGGAGTCACTACGGTCATCCGCAAGCAAATACCTCTAATCGGCGCTGCCTTGCGGCTAAGCACATCGGCCACAACATTGGCTTTCCCCGGGTGGTAAAGGATCTCACAATCGTAATCCTTCACCACGTCTAACCACGACGCTGCCTCATGTTCAGATTTGGCTGATCCATGAGGTACCTCAAACTCTTATGGTACGTGTAGATGGTACATCGGACCCCATAGAGTTAGTGTCGCCAAATATTGAGGGCGAAGACGACCGCCCCCAACTCCAAATCATGCGTCGGGTAGTTTGCCTCGTGAGGCTTCGGCTGCCTCAAGGCGTAGGCGATGACATACCCTCTCTGCATCAAAACTGCGCCCAAACCCGAAATGGACGCATCGCAATATACCACAAAATCCTCCACGCCCTCGGTCAGGGCGAGGATCGGCGCCTCGCATAGTCTCTGTCTCAGTGTCTCGAATGTCGTCTGCTGCTCAGCCCCCAGCGAAAGAGAACGGTTTTCTTCGTCAGTCGGGTCAGAGGTACGACTATCTTGGAGAAGTCCTGAATGAATCTCCGGTAATAGCCCGCCAATCTGAATAAACTCCGAATCTCAGATGGAGACTTCGGAACCTCCTATCTCATCACGGCCTCCACCTTGGCCGGGTCAACCAATATCTCGTTCTGGTTGACAAGGTGCCCAAGAAACTGCACCTCGCGCAACCAGAACTCGCACTTGGAAAACTTGGCATACAAGCTCTCCCTCCTCAGGGTATCTAACACCTCTCGCAAGTGCTCCTCATGCTGCTCCTGCGTCT